AGACCAAATTTTTATTCAGATGCAAGTTGTCTCTCCTCTGTGAGGGAGAATCTGCATCTCTTCCCCCCCCCCAATGTCTACCAATCCAAAGCAGTCCAGTGGCACCTTTAAGACCAAGTTTTATTCAGGCACAAGTTTTTCCTTCTCTGCTAGGACAGATCTGCATGCCCCCCCCTCCACCCATAGCTATCAATCGAAAACAGTCCAGTGGAGCTTGAGCGGTGGGTGTTGCCTTTGGACACACTTCCGGTGATGTCAGGGGGTGTGGCCTTCTGACACACTTCTGGTGATGTCAGGGTGTGTGGCATATGCTAATATGTTATGCTAATGAGCTCCTGCACCTCTTTTTCTATGAAAAGACCCCTGAGTATGTCTGCTTGATTTCTGTGCTTCCCTCACTGGTTTAGGAAAGAATTTTCTAGCATAATTGGTACTTGCTTTGATCGAAGGAATGTCCCTGAGCTAGGCATAGTCATGGATGGATAGAAGCAAGGGCCTTGGTGAAGTGGTAACAGAAGCAGCAAGAAGTTGGAAATGGCCTTTCAAGGAACTTTATTTAGCAGATACCTAAGCTTGCGCACTACTGATCATGACCTTTCTTGTGGTTCACAGTGCAATCTTAAGCAAAATTACACCCTTCTAAGCCCACTGACTTCCGTGGACTTAGAAGAATAAAACTCTGCTTATGATGCCACCCATAGATGGGCAGTTTTTGCATTTAGTAGAATTAAGTGTTTATTATGGTTATGGACTTCTACAATCCAACTTGATTTCAGCAGAAATCAAAAGCATATATATGCCTTTTTGTTAGTGTTTCGGTTTAAATGAGCAAGTGAATATGAAGGTAGTATTCATAGAAATTCTCCCTGGAAGAAAAAGCAAATATTTCACTCGCTCAATTGGGTAACCTTCTCCTTTCTTTATAGAAATGCTTCTCAAAAGGTTACTGAACAATAACAATATAAAACTTCTCCCTCTATGCCAAAATGATCTCATAACTATCATGGGTTTGTGCTGGATGGCATTTGTGTAATAGTTCTTGTACGTGAAATTGTTACTCTTTTAAATAAAAATGTGTAACTTCCCATTAAAACCAATTTCCTGCAAAGCAACTGATATAAAATTTGATTCTAAAAAGATTCAGGGATGGTTTTTGCTGACCTGTTTGCATAAATGGAGAAAAGGATCGTAAAGGGTAGAGAACATTAAGAAAGACTCAACATGGTTTTTACTTAGAGAAGTATCACCTAACAAAGATCTTTTAGGGTGCCATTACAAGCTTGTATACATTAAATTTACTAGGAGCTTTAAGATTTTGACCAAGGCACCCAAGAAAATGTAACATATAGGTCATCTTGTAGACTGCTTACATGTTTGGAACAATAAGTGGAGCATAGAGAGAAATCAACAGGTTTCATCTCTACTGATGACAGAAGTCCTCAAGGTAAGCCCATAGTCTCCTTTTGATGGTGAGGGGGAGTTAAAAATATGATCTTGAGTTGTGACAGACAGTGAAGACAGTCAAATTTGTGGATAAATCTGAATTATTCAGGATAGTGACATTCCAAAAAGATGATGAAGAGCTCTAGGAACAGCTCTCCAAAATGACAACATCACAGAAGACAAATTCTCTTTAAGTGCAAAATTACAACTACAGGGTGAAATTTCCCATTTTTGTGCCACCAAAACTTGAAATATTTGGATTGCTTCAGAACAGGAATAACCAGTTTATGCACAGAATAGCTTTACTTTGGAAAAAACAGATCATCCAAGTTTCAATTGTGTTAGGAATTGTAGGTTAAATGTGCATGCACCTATAGAAACATGTTGCCAATTTGTACATCTGGGTGTGGTTGGTTATCTCTATCAGAGGCTGGTGTGGTGCAATCAAGGCAACCACCCACCTTTTAAAAAAAAGATTACATGAAATTAACAGCCCACATTAGTGTTGCAATATGGAGCACAATTTACTCACTTGTATAGTAACAGCTATGTCATGAAGTTATAAATGAAGTCTTGCCAGGTTTGTCACATATGTATTATGAAAAGACGTCTGTGGCATAGGGCACAAGAGAACTTTACTGCAATGCAGCCTGTTTTCCCTGCTGTATTCTTCCATGTTTGGGTATGAGGCCCAACGCTTAGAAGTTTGTTTATATGAAAGGTAAAAAAATCACATTACCAACAAAACAGTTCTTTCAAAATATAACTGCCTTGCTAGTAGTGGAAGGATTTGTAGTGACAGTAGTCAATGTAAAGAAGATGTGTCAAAAACAGCTTCATCACATTTTAATAATGGATGGGGGATTAATGAATGCTCAGGTGAGTACCATCCTCCACAAATGGTTCTCCACTGAAATGCTTACTGACTCCCCTATTGACTTCTTTAAGTGAACTTGTAAAAGATATGATCTTGCCATCCATTTTATTGGCTTTTCTCTTTCCTTCTCTGTCTTGGCAACTGAGATCAGCTCCTCTCTGTTTTCTGGATAAGTGTTCTGGACAAGTGTCCAGAAATCAAGTTTTTGGCCATATCCAGTATTTATTTTTTTATTTCAAACATTTATTAGCTGCCTTGTCACCTTATAGGAGCTCAAGGCAGCTCACAATGTAAACAATAAAATACATTTTAAAAAACCTCCAGTTGAAAACAGTAATTTTAAACAGCTGGTAGGGAAAAGAACTAATCAAAATCTGTCATGAATAAAACTGTCTTAGTTGCCTCCTAAAGACTGAGAATGAGGGGGCTAGGTACATCTCCCTAGGGAGGATGCCCCAGAATCGTGGGCCTACCATTGAAAAGACCCTCGTATACTCACTAGACAAACTTCTTGGGTCAATGGGACAGTCAAGAGGACGTCTCCTTCTGATCTTAGTTCCCAGGTAGGAACATCTGGAGGAAGATGGTCATTCAGATATCCCAGTCCTAAGCCATATAGGGCTTTTAAAAGTCAAAAACAACCCCTTGAATTGGGCTCAGGAGAGCATTGTTAGCCAGTGTAATTGCTGTAGGATTGGGGTCACTTGATCCCAGTAACTGACCCCAACCACCAGTCTAGCCACAACATTCTGCACTAGCTGCAGCCTCCCAACACTGTTCAAAGGTAACCCCAAGTAGAGTGCATTGCAGTAGTACAGTCTAGATGTAACAAATGCATGAATCACTGTGGCTAGATCTGACTTAACCAAGATTGGGTGCAGGTGATGTACCAGCCAAAGCTGGGTGAAAGCACTTCAAATGACATTAGCCACTTGATTTTCAAAGGTGACTACAGTGTCAAGTGATACTCCCAAGCTGTGAACCTCTTTTTTCAAGGGGAGTGTAACCCTATCCAAGACACAAGAGATCTCAAGTTCCTGATCTTCCTTTCAACTAAACCCAGAGCACTCTGCCTTGTCAGGATTAGGTTTCCTCTTGTTCACCCTCATCCGGCTCATTACTGATTCCAAGCACTGGTTTACAACATCAACATCTTCCTCAGAATTAGGTGGAAAAGGAAAGTAGAGCAGGGTATCATCCATGTGTTAGTGACACCACAGCCTAGTACACAGAGTGAGAGGTGCAGAGCAAGGGTAGAACTGAGTGCAATTCTAGATGATCCCATCACACCCAGTGAAAGCAAGAACAGCCTTCAAGAGACAGAAGCTTCTCCCCCTACTCCATCCTCAGATTATTAATCGGGATGTCTCAGTAATTAATCGGGATACTAATTGGGTCAAATTAGTGGGTTCTAGATCAAATCAAGCCTGAACTCCCTAGAAGCTGAAATGACCAGATTGAGGCTATCAGACTTTAGTTGTATTATGTGAAGACAAGAATCACTGGAAAAGACAATAATGCTAGGGAAAATTGAAGCTGGAAAAGTGGATGACCCAACATGAGATGGATTGATTCAGCAAAAGAAGGCATGGACTTCAGTTTGCAAGACCTAAGCAAGGGTATTAACAATAGGAAGTTTTTGAAGGCATTAATTCATATGGTCATCACAACAGCACTTAACATACACATACACATGCACACACACTATCGTATAAAGGTTTGGGTTGCCTTAGCACTGAGGCCTTACAAAGAAGTAAAGTCTAGGTCCACATTCTCCACTAGAGATTCGACAGAGTGATCTGATTTGACCTGACTGGCATTTCCCGCCACAGAGTGCCTTCAAACATACCTTCTCCCCACCCAGACCTCTCTTCTGCTTCCTTTGGAAATGGTCCCCAGGACCAGTGTTCCCTCTAAGCTGAGTGAGTGTGAGCCAGCTCACAGTTTTTTAGCCTCCGGCTCACACATTTTTCTCTTAGCTCAGGAAGGAGGGCGCCAGAGCAAACTAACTTATGCAGCAGCCGAATCGCTGGCTCACAACTTTAATGCCCGTAGCTCACAAAGTAGAATTTTTGCTCACAAGACTCCACAGCTTACAGGGAACACTGCCCAGGACTCCCTTTTTCTCACCTTTTGCCCGACAGGGATGTGGGGGGAGCTTACTTCCAACCCTGCATTCCAAGCCAGGAGAGACTCTGGCCCTATAGCTGAAGTCAGGACCCATCTCAGAAGTGTGCTTTCGACCCGTTCTAAATCACCAGTGTTTGTGCAGTAGTTTAAGTCCACGTCTGCCATAATGTCACATGGATCTTGCCTTTTCTGTGGCATAGCGGTTGGATTATTGCCCTGGACTCTTGCTGAGTATGCCCCTGTTCACCTCACTGTTGTGGAGAACTCTACCATTTATCTTTTCCACTGAAAGAGAAACTTGCACATGAATTCCATGTGTAGATCAGAATTTCCCCAGAGCTTGCATTTGGCTGCATGATTGGAAAATGTGATGTGCTGAAATGTTGAGTAGTGGACAGTAGAGTTAATTTTGCTCTGTGTTTCACTAATCACTGAGTAATCTTTCCTGCCACAATTTAGTATTTTACAAAATGTGTGTGTTTCTGGATTCTTTCCTGCCCAGTCAGTGATGCTGATTATGTTGTATCTTTGTCTTCCTTTCTTCTTCCAGGGAGCTTCTGCTGTCTATAGCTCTTGGACAGGTTCTGTCCCTGCTTATTTGTGGTATTGGCTTGACTAGCAAGTATTTGTCGGAGGATTTTCATGCCAACACTCCAGTCTTTCAGAGCTTCCTCAACTACATTCTCCTATTTTTGGTTTATACCACAACATTAGCTGTTAGACAAGGTAAGTGGAACTTTGTAGATGTAGTGTTGGTAGAAATTGTACAAACGATGGGATATTTTGTGGCACTCTTTTTTTTTTACACAAAGAAGGCTACAAAATCACAGTATCATGTATGCAGTCTTTTAAAAAAATGAGATATTTTAAATTGGTGGGAAAGAAGGGTTTGTTTGTTTTTTTGCTTACATCCCCTGTTGTCATCTGTGCTTATTTTTTAATCTGTGTTGAATTGGAATACATGTTTTATTCTGGAGAGCTGGAGTCCAGTGGCACCTTTAAGATGTTTAAGCTGGAGAGCTGGGTTGTACATCTGCTTATTTCACTGAAAAAAGTTCTATGTAGGAACGAATAGTGGTTCTGAAGATGAGTCAAAGGGCCAGACTAAATGTTATGGTGCCATTTTAGAGCAGAATTTGGCCATTTAAAAATGCTGCGAGGGCCCGATCTGCTGCTTTGCCACTTGAAAAGGTGCAGGGGGGAACAAGATTGCCAGATAAGTATTGGACCCTCTCAGCATTTTAAATGGCAAGGTTCAGCTACCCATGGAAGCCATAACATCTAGTTTGGCCTTCAGAGAGTGTACAAATTAAGGGAACCTAAGGGAACCTAAACAGCATGATAAAAAGTAGAGACATCACCCTGCCAACAAAAGTCCGCATGGTCAAAGCAATGGTATTCCCAGTAGTCATGTATGGCTGTGAGAGTTGGACTATAAGGAAGGCCGAGCGCCGAAGAATAGATTCTTTTGAACTATGGTGCTGGAGAAGACTCTTGAGAGTCCCTTGGACTGCAAGAAGAACAAATCAGTCAATCCTCAAAGAAATCAACCCTGACTGTTCCCTGGAAGGCCAGATAATGAAACTGAAACTCAAATACTTTGGCCACCAAATGAGAAGGGAGCACTCACTGGAAAAGACCCTGATGCTGGGAAAGATTGAAGGTCAAAGAAGACGGGGACGGCAAAGGATGAGATGGTTAGACAGTGTCAGCGATGCAACGAACATGAAATTGAGCCAACTTCGGAGGACGGCGGAAGACAGGAGAGCCTGGCGGGAGATTGTCCATGGGGTCGCGAAGAGTCGGACTCGACTGTGCGACTGAACAACAACAAAAGCTCAATTGCTGTGAAGCAAGGATAACACACAGTTCTTGAGCCAAATCAAGTTTCTACCCCCAGGACGTGTTGCTTAGAATATCTCTACATAGTTTCTTCTTGCTGTTCTGTTCTCAAGAAAAATATCTTCTGCCTTGGACTGAAATGTGCTTTCAAGGGCAAATATATGCTATTGTTTCTGTATAATCTCATGCAGTTTCTACCCTTTTTTCCAATTTGAAGAGCTTTCCTATCCAAAATAGATTAGAAAGGGAGAATGTATTTAGATTCAAATGTATTTATTTAAATAAACAGACTATCAATCCTAAAATGTTGAGATGAAATTGAGTAAGGAAATTCAAATGTATGGGATAAATAGCTATCAAGAGCTTATTGCCCATATTTGAGTATATAGGCTTGAAATGTTATTTTAGTTGTCAACATTTGGATTCTTCCCTGTTTTACATCTGCTAGTGATTTGGTGCCACTCCTGCTGCTTAAATTCTTCATTTGTAGCACAGTCCTGTGGAGCAGACTGTACAGCATGTTACAGATAGCAAGTTACTCACTCCCAATGGGACGCTTGTGATTAAGAGGGCGCTGCTGTGTTCCACTGCAGGAAAGCTACTAAATGAGGAGTTCTGTGTATCTGTTAAAACTTTGTTAGACTGGCAAACAGTGGTATCAGAGACTGAAAATGTAACCTCTTCGTAAGGGAGAGCTTGTTTCAGCAGTGTTTTAAAAAACTCCACTTTTCAGTGCAGATCGGTAACAAGCCTGTACAACATAGGAACTCTGGGCCAGTTGTAGCTTCACCCTGTCTATTTGCCACCTCCTGGAGGAAGCCAAAATACTATCAGAACCAAACCAGGCATGACAGCATCCTCATATTTTAACAATGCTGTGAGGGTCTGATTGGGTACTGAGGCACTCTCATTACCCCCTCCCCCAGTGTCTTTTCAAGTGCTGAAATAGCTGCCCCCCTGCACATCTGTTTTGGCACTTGAAAAGGTGTGGGAGAGGGAAAGAAATGTGTCGGCCTGTCATGCTGCAGTCCGGATTCTGGGTGAATCATGCAAGTCAGGTGGTAGCAGGTTGTCCAGTGACTTGCTTGTGGCCTGGCCCTGATTAGTTCTTCCAAAAATGCTAAAACAGCCCTGGAAAGAGCCCTCTCATCTTCCTTTTATAGACAGAAATCAAGGCTTTAAGGCTGGCAATAATGTTTCGGTTGCCTATCAATAGCCACTCTGGGTATTCATTTCATAAAGCTATAGGACTCCTTGTATTGTTTTGTAGAGTCCCCCCCACACACACACACTGTATCTTTTTTCAGATTTCAGATATTTTTTTCAAACCTGGGGCTTTTTCAGGTTGGTAGAAAGAGCTTTCTGATCTCTTCATGGTTCCAGACTTTGCATTTAAGTATCTACATATCTGGCCATGTTGAGAATTAGAAATAAAGATGGGCACAATACATACAATTAACAGTGCAGTAAATCTGGATTACAAAGTTAGAGGACAATAAAATAAAATCAATACAAAGAGCAAAATAGTCTAATTTTTTTCAGATAGTAAAAGTATAATCTTATTCCTTTTATTAAAAGAACCCTGTTGTACAATTCCATGTTACTCAATATTTCCCTTGAACAACTCCATTCCACATGTTCTGAAGAGTGATAGAACTGTGAGAGTTTTTCTGATGTCTTCAGGGAGGCTATTCTGCCAGGTAGGAGACGCCACAGAAAATGCCTATGTATAGGCAGTTGCTGATCTTACCTATTTGCAGGGTGGCACCTTCAGAAGGCTTTTTGAAGTTGTCTTTGGGGAGCATATTAAGAGGTGGTTCTGCAGATGTGTGGGTCCTAGGCCATAAAGGTCTTTTAAAGTAATAACTTACATGTTGAATTGAACCCGTAACTAATTGGTAACCAGTGGAGTGACTGCAGAGAAGGTACAATATGCATACTCTGCCTAGCTCCCAATTCTAATCCAGCTGCAGAATTCTGTACAAGCTGGCATTTTCATTGGTATTTATTTTATTATTTATTAAATTAGACTTCTATACAGTGTGCTATAGTAGTCTACCCTCAAGGTTACTGTGGCAATGGCCCATATGACCAGATCAGCTGGATCAAGGTAAGGAGCCTATGTCCAGGCTAAGTAAAAATGGAAGAAATAATTGTGTACAGCTGCATTAATTTACTTCTCTAGCAGTAATACTGGGTCAGTTGTAAATCCTAGGCTTTTAACAGAAGCATCAAGGGTCAGTTGAACCCTGTCAAATGTGGGAAGTGCAATGCCCTGTAAGACGTCAGCCTTCCTTACTTGCATCACCTCCATCTTGTCAGGGTTCAATTTCACACTGTTCACCTTCAGTCATTTAAATACAGCAGCAAGGCAGTGGTTGGGTGTCATCAACGTATTGATGACAATGAATGCCAAAAGTGTCAATGGTATCTCCTAAAGGATTTATATAAAGAATAAGCATGGGAGATAAGACTGAACCTCATGGAACCCTACAGGGAAAGACCCACACCACTGATATCTGGTATCCAACAGCAACCCCAATTCCAACTATTTAAAGCATTCCAAAGTACATCCTTTAATATGTACTTCTACTTCTGGTCATCTCAGAAGGATGGCAATGGTGCATTGTATTATTAGCATTTGAACATTTTACAGTTGCATCCTTATGTTATGTATTTTTCATTTTAAATATTTTAAAATCCAAATGCTATATGTACAGAAACCAATGAAGCTAGATTTATACAATTAAACTTTTGAAACAAGCGGGTATACCTGGTGTGTGCATAGCATGTACGAAAACAAAAACAATCTGTTCTATGTGCTATGTTTTGTTTTTTTCAAATTATTGAAGTCAGGAACTCACATTTCCACTTCAGAACCAACATTTTCACCATCAGCGTATCCGAAATATCTTACATAATGTGGTTTTCAACTTCTACCCCCAAATTCTGCTTGAAGCATTTTCCACACCTGTTTTTTTCCAGAAATATGTCCAGACTGTATTTTTTGTTGCCCTTCCCTACAGCTTTGTGAACCATTCAAAATGGGAGAAGGTATGAGAGAGTGTCGTCTCCCTGGATTCAGAACACTATGATAAAATTGACACTAGTTTTTCTAGTCTGGAAGACCCACCCATGACATTGCATAACTTGTATGTGTCTGAAACTCCCTTACTGCAGTGAATTGCTGGGAGAGTCAACACCTGGTGTGCTTGTACTGATGAACTCAGATGAAGTAAAGTTAAGACAGTAGTGTGGGAGGGCACAGAGCAAAAATAGAGACTGAAGCAGGAAAATGGGGGATCTGACAGAGAAATATGTGGGTTGGGGAGAAGGAAAGGTATAATAGAGATGGGGCTGCAGAGAGAAAAGAGCACTACGGATGCAGAAATAAAAGGGAGCACTGTGGACAGGAGGGAGACTATTGAGGTGAGGAAAGAGAAGGTGGAAGATAAAGTGCAAGGAGGCATGTGGGAAAGAAAGTGATGAGGGGAAAACAGATTTGTGCAGTGGGGAAATGAGAGAAGAGGGGATAACTATGAGATGGCAGAGCAGACCAGTGGTGATACATAGAGAAAGCAGTGAATGTGCACAATAAGATGCAGACCGTGATGAAAGAGAATGATGTAGAATAGGGCAAGAAATGGTTAGTAGAGCAACAGGTTCATAGTGAGAAGAGAGAGCCCATGCTGTGAGGAACAAAGAGCTGGGAGACAATTTAACAGAGAATGGGATAGAACACCCGAGTGTGTTAAGTTGCATCCATTTATGATGATGCTGTGATTTAATGACCTCCAAAATGTCCTATCGTTAACACCCTTGCTCAGGTCTTGCAAACTTAGGGCCTTGGCTTCCTCGATTCAGTCAATCCATCTTGTGTTAGG